CCAAATTAGGATGTATTATTTTATCTGTAGGAAAGTTATAGAGTTTCACAAACTATGGGATAGATCTGAATATTGATCAATCCTGAAGTACTGACAGCCAATTAAATTTCTTGAGGTCCAATAATGTCAGAACAGTACAGATATCCCCCAAATGTCAGGACAGGACAGATATCCCTCAAATGCCAGGACAGTACAGATATCCCCCAAAATGTCAGGACAGTACAGATATCCCCCAAATGTCAGAACAGTACATATATCCCCCAAAATGTCAGGACAGTACAGATATCCCCCAAAATGTCAGGACAGTACAGATATCCCCCCAAATGTCAGAACAGTACAGATATCCCCCAAAATGTCAGAACGGTACAGATATCCCCCAAATGTCAGAATGGTACAGATATCCCCCAAATGTCAGGACAGTACAGATATCCCCCAAATGTCAGAACAGTACAGATATCCCCCAAATGTCAGAACAGGACAGATATCCCCCAAATGTCAGGACAGTACAGATATCCCCCAAATGTCGGAACAGTACAGATATCCCCCAAATGTCAGAACAGTACAGATATCCCCCAAATGTCAAGACAGTACAGATATCCCCCAAATGTTGGAACAGTACAGATACCCCCCAAATGTCAGGACAGTACAGATATCCCCCCAAATGTCAGAACAGTACAGATATGAGGGGTTCAAGGGCCCTGCTCCTTGGAGCTTACAATCTAGGAGGGAGGGGATGGTGGCACAGGAGGAAATAGCTGTGGAGGATGGAGTGGTAGGAAGAGTGGAGGAGATCGGCAATTAGGTGAGGGTGGGGTAGGCTTCCCTGAAGAGATGGGTTTTCAGGGTGCGCCTAAAGGTGAGGAGGGTAGGTGACAGTCTGATAGATTGGGGTAGTGAGTTCCAGAGAATGGTGGAAGCTCTGGAGAAGTCCTGGAGATGGGCATAGGAGGAAGAGACCAGGGAACAAGAGAGTAGGAGGTCTTGTGAGGAGCAGAGAGTACGTTTTGGGTGGTAGATACTGTAGATATCAGGTCGGTGATGTAGTTCGGGGCAGTGTTATGAACAGCTTTGTATGTCAATGTTAGTAATTTGAATTTTATACGTTGGGCAATCAGAAGCCAGTGGAGGGAATGGCAGAGGGGGGTGGCGGATACAGATTTTACATATATATTGTACATTCACATCGGTCCCTAACCCTCAAGGGGCGTACAGTCTAAGGTCCCTAACTCACATTCATACATACACATACTAGGGCCAACTTAGACAGGAGCCAATTCACCTACCAGCATGTCTTTGGAGTGTGGGAGGAAACCGGAGTACCCGAAGGAAAGAGAACATGCAAACTCCAGGCAGGTGTTGGGATTCGAACCGACGACCCGAGTACGGCCGGGCGGAAGGTGGTTAGCCCTGTAAATGGACCGAAGTAAATAATGATCGTTGTTGTGTCTGCTCCACAAGGATACATAAAAAAAAAATTCTTGCCGTATGCTCTCCAAATAAAATCAACAATTCTTCAACCTGTGGAACTCTTCCCTCCCCAACCGATTTTCAACACTCAAGCTGAAAATAATTCTTGGAAAGCAAATGGTTTTCAACATATTTTGACCGTCTAACTGATAATATCACCGCGCCCCCTGTGACTTCTTCCATGTTCTGGCAAAACAATTCAGACGGCCCCGTATGACCGATGTGCCTTTGACCTCCCTAGATGGAGCAATCGGACAGGTTTGCCTTGATGTGTACAGTTGCCCCAGGGTAGGTTCTGTGTTAGGTCTCAAAGGTTACTACTCTGGGGTCATTCATGAAAAATAACCCCCCCCCCAGCATAATATACCCAGGGGGCAGATGGACAAGGCTCTGTCATACAACCCGTATCTACACACAGGCTGGGCTCCAAGTTAGGTCTCATAGGTTAACCCCTTCCATACCGGGCACTTCTACCCCTTCCTGCCCAGGCCATTTTTCAGCTCTTTCACACTTTGAACAACAATTGCGCGGGTCATGCAACACTGTACCCAAACTAAAATTTTATCATTTTCTTCACACAACTAGAGCTTTCTTTTGGTGGTATTTAATCACCGCTGAGGTTTTTATTTTTTGCTAAATTAACAAAAAAAGACAGAAAATTTTGAAAAAAAAAACCCACTTTTTTCTTTGTTTCTGTTATAAAAGTTTGCAAATAAATAATTGTTCTTCATACATTTAGGCCGAGATGTATTCTGCTCCATGTCTTTGGTGAAAATAACCCAAATTAGGATGTATTATTTAGTCTGTAGGAAAGTTATAGAGTTCACAAACTATGGGATATATCTGAATATTGATCAATCCTGAAGTACTGACAGACAATCTAATTTCTTGAGGTCCAAGAATGTCAGAACAGTACAGATATCCCCAAATGTCAGGACAGGACAGATATCCCCCAAATGTCAGGATAGTACAAATATCCCCAAATGTCAGGACAGGACAGATATCCCCCAAATGTCAGGACAGGACAGATATCCCCAAATGTCAGAACAGTACAGATATCCCCCAAATGTCAGGACGGTACAGATATCCCCCAAATGTCAGGACAGTACAGATATCCCCCCAAATGTCAGGACAGGACAGATATCCCCCAAATGTCAGGACGGTACAGATATCCCCCAAATGTCAGGACAGTACAGATATCCCCCAAATATCAGGACAGTACAGATATCCCCCAAATGTCAGGACAGGACAGATATCCCCCAAATGTCAGAACGGTACAGATATCCCCCAAATGTCAGGACAGTACAGATATCCCCCAAATGTCAGAACGGTACAGATATCCCCCAAATGTCAGGACAGTACAGATATCCCCCAAATGTCAGGACAGTACAGATATCCCCCAAATATCAGGACAGTACAGATATCCCCAAATGTCAGAACGGTACAGATATCCCCAAAATGTCAGGACGGTACAGATATCCCCCAAATGCCAGAACAGTACAGATATTCCACAAATGTCAGAACAGTACAGATATCCCCCAAATGTCAGGACGGTACAGATATCCCCCAAATGTCAAGACGGTACAGATATCCCCCAAATGTCAGGACAGTACAGATATCCCCCAAATGTCAGCACAGTACAGATATCCCCAAATGTCAGCACAGTACAGATTTCCCCAAATGTCAGGACGGTACAGATATCCCCAAATGTCAGGACGGTACAGATATCCCCCAAGTGTCAGAACAGTACAGATATCCCCCAAATGTCAGGACAGTACAGATATCCCCCAAATGTCAGCACAGTACAGATATCCCCAAATGTCAGCACAGTACAGATATCCCCCAAATGTCAGGACGGTACAGATATCCCCCAAATGTCAGAACAGTACAGATATCCCCCAAATGTCAAGACAGTACAGATATCCCCCAAATGTCAGGACAGTACAGATATCCCCAAATGTCAGAACAGTACAGATATCCCCCAAATGTCAGAACAGTACAGATATCCCCCAAATGTCAAGACAGTACAGATATCCCCCAAATGTCAGGACAGTACAGATATCCCCCAAATGTCAGAACAGTACAGATATCCCCCAAATGTCAGGACAGTACAGATATCCCCCAAATGTCAGGACAGTACAGATATCCCCCAAATGTCAGAACAGTACAGATATCCCCAAATGTCAGGACAGTACAGATATCCCCCAAATGTCAGGACAGTACAGATATCCCCAAATGTCAGGACAGTACAGATATCCCCCAAATGTCGGAACAGTACAGATATCCCGCAAATGTCAGGACAGTACAGATATCCCCCAAATGTCAGGACAGTACAGATATGAGGGGTTCGAGGGCCCTGCTCCTTGGAGCTTACAATCTAGGAGGGAGGGGATAGAGGTACAGGAGGAAATAGCTGTGGGGGGTGGAGTGGAGGAGATGGGCAGTTAGGTGAGGGCGGGGTAGGCTTCCCTGAAGAGATGGGTTTTCAAGGTGCGCCTAAAGGTGAGGAGAGTAGGTGACAGTCTGATGGATTGGGGTAGTGAGTTCCAGAGGATGGGGGAAGCTCTGGAGAAGTCCTGGAGACGGGCATGGGAGGAGGAGACCAGGGAACTTGAGAGTAGGAGGTCTTGTGAGGAGCGGAGAGTACGTTTTGGGTGGTATTTGGATATCAGGTCGGTGATGTAGTTCGGGGCAGTATGATGAACAGCTTTGTACGTCAATGTTAGTAATTTGAATTTTATGCGTTGGGCAATCGGAAGCCAGTGGAGGGAATGGCAGAGGGGGGTGGAGCCAGTGGAGGGAATGGCAGAGGGGGGTGGAGGCCAGTGGAGGGAATGGCAGAGGGGGGTGGCAGATACGGATTTTACATATATATTGTACATTCACATCAGTCCCTAACCCTCAAGGGGCGTACATCTAAGGTCCCTAACTCACATTCATACATACACATACTAGGGCCAATTAGACAGGAGCCAATTCACCTACCAGCATGTCTTTGGAGTGTGGGAGGAAACCGGAGTACCCAGAGGAAAGAGAACATGCAAACTCCAGGCAGGTGTTGGGATTCGAACCGACGACCCGAGTACGGCCGGGCGGAAGGTGGTTAGCCCTGTAAATGGACCGAAGTAAATAATGATCGTTGTTGTGTCTGCTCCACAAGGATACATAAAAAAATAAATTCTTGCCGTATGCTCTCCAAATAAAATCAACAATTCTTCAACCTGCGGAACTCTTCCCTCCCCAACCGATTTTCAACGCTCAAGCTGCAAATAATTCTTGGAAAGCAAATGGTTTTCAACATATTTTGACCGTCTAACTGATAATATCACCGCGCCCCCTGTGACTTCTTCCATGTTCTGGCAAAACAATTCAGACGGCCGTATGACCGATGTGCCTTTGACCTCCCTAGATGGAGCAATCGGACAGGTTTGCCTTGATGTGTACAGTTGCCCCAGGGTAGGTTCTGCGTTAGGTCTCAAAGGTTACTACTCTGGGGTCATTCATGAAAAATACCCCCCCGGGGCCCCGTGAGTTGTCAGTCCGCCCCCCCCCCAGCATAATATTACCCAGGGGGCAGATGGACAAAGCTCTGTCATACAACCCGTATCTACACACAGGCTGGGCTCCAAGTTAGGTCTCACAGGTTAACCCCTTCCATACCGGGCACTTCTACCCCCTTCCTGCCCAGGCCATTTTTTCAGCTTTCAGCGCTTTCACACTTTGAACAACAATTGCGCGGTCATGCAACACTGTACCCAAACTAAAATTTTATCATTTTCTTCACACAACTAGAGCTTTCTTTTGGTGGTATTTAATCACCGCTGGGTTTTTATTTTTTGCTAAATTAACAAAAAAGACCGAAAATTTTGAAAAAAAAAAAACACTTTTTTCTTTGTTTCTGTTCTAAAAGTTTGCAAATAAATAATTGTTCTTCATAAATTTAGGCCGAGATGTATTCTGCTACATGTCTTTGGTGAAAATAACCCAAATTAGGATGTGATATTTAGTCTGTAGGAAAGTTATAGAGTTCACAAAACTATGGGATAGATCTGAATATTGATCAATCCTGAAGTACTGACAGCCAATCTAATTTCTTGAGGTCCAAGAATGTCAGGACAGTACAGATATCCCCCAAAATGTCAGGACAGTACAGATATCCCCCAAATGTCAGAACAGTACAGATATCCCCCAAATGTCAGGTCAGTACAGATATCCCCCAAATGTCAGGACGGTACAGATATCCCCCAAATGTCAGGACAGTACAGATATCCCCCAAATGTCAGAACGGTACAGATATCCCCAAATGCCAGAACAGTACAGATATCCCCCAAATGTCAGGTCAGTACAGATATCCCCCAAATGTTAGGACGGTACAGATATCCCCCAAATGTCAGGACGGTACAGATATCCCCCAAATGTCAGAACGGTACAGATATCCCCCAAATGTCAGGACGGTACAGATATCCCCCAAATGTCAGAAACGGTACAGATATCCCCCAAATGTCAGAACAGTACAGATATCCCCCAAATGTCAGGTCAATACAGTATCCCCCCAAATGTCAGCACAGTACAGATATCCCCCAAATGTCAGGTCAGTACAGATATCCCCCAAATGTCAGCACAGTACAGATATCCCCCCAAATATCAGGACGGTACAGATATCCCCCAAATGTCAGAACAGTACAGATATCCCCCAAATGTCAGAACAGTACAGATATCCCCCAATGTCAGAACAGTACAGATATCCCCCAAATGTTAGGACAGTACAGATATCCCCCAAATGTCAGGACAGTACAGCTATCCCCCAAATGTCAGGACAGTACAGATATCCCCCCAAATGTCAGGACAGTACAGCTATCCCCCAAATGTCAGGACAGTACAGATATCCCCCAAATGTCAGAACAGTACAGATATCCCCCAAATGTCAGAACAGTACAGATATCCCCCAAATGTCAGGACAGTACAGTTTATCCCCCAAATGTCAGGACGGTACAGATATCCCCCAAATGTCAGGACGGTACAGATATACAGATATATTTTAAAAAATAAAATTCATATATATTGTAATACCAACGCATTTTAACATGCAGTATATATATATATATATATATATATATATATTGAAAATATATTAAATATGGCCAAAATTGTAACATTTCACGAATATGACAATATAGTTGTGAAGAATATTTTTAAAATATATTTCAAATATATTTTTCTTCCATGTGGGCTGCTAGAGGGTCTATTGTTTCTGGCTATGGGGAGTCTTTTGTTGCTGGAGAGGTATTTTGTTGCTGGGGGGGTCTTTTGTTGCTGGAGAGGTATTTTGTTGCAGGGGGTCATTTGGAAGTGATTTTAAATATCTGTGCTGAGAAAAAAAAATTGTAATTCACGGTTGATATATTTTGTTCATGTTACGGCGTATACCGTGTTGATCCGGGTTGGGAAATCTCCACTTTTGGACTAATATTGACGTCAAGATTTTATCCTTCACATGGTAAATAAACGGACTCATTTAGCGCCCGCAGCATTTTGGTTGGGTGAAGAGGGAAGTATAAAATCAAAGGTTTAGTCTATAACAAAGAGGAGGGGAAATGGATCGTGCCGATTGCTGCAGAACGAATATTTCAGGATGGGTGTAGGATGTGAGTGATGGAATGACATTGACTGGTTTATTCTGCTTTCTAATGAGTCATTTTTTGGGGGAGGTTTTGGGCTACATTTGAGTTTTATTGTCTGTACTACAGCTGAGCTGGATCTAGCCTATCTGATCTGGGGGGGCAGTAAAAAAATACTCCGGGGATATAATGTCAACACAGTGTGTGAGTCACTGACAGTCTGTCATGCAGTGTAACAACCTGGGAAATCCTGTGAAAAGTATGACGCCGCTCCAAGCTATGGATGGAAGGAAGAGCATCACCCCTCCAGCAAGGGAGAAGAGGGGAGCATGGGTCAAAGCGATCCCGGTGTCAGCCAATACTAGTGGAGGGATGGACGCTGCTCAACCAATCCCAGGAGTCCAATGTTGAGAAATGGTTGCCATTCTGATTACGCCCTCTGATGCATTTTGCCCCACCCAGAGCCGTGAACATGCCCCGGTGGACAGGGCAAAACACGTCAGAAGGTTGGCCAGAACAACGGCTGAGGCCATTCCTGAACTTCGGACTCCTGGGATTGGTTTAGCAGCGTCCATCCATTAACCTGGGGAACACTATTATGTATTAGGTTGTCCTTAGATTAGGGCGACTCATCAGAGTCCCCTTTTACATCAGGTTCCCATCATAGTGTCCTCTTACATCAGAATCCCTAATAGGGTACCCCCTTACTGTACATCAATTGTCCCCATCAGAGTTACATACGATCAGTTATCCCCATTACAGTGCTCCCTGACATGAGGTGTCCCCATTAGAGTGCTCCCTGACATGAGGTGTCCCCATTAGAGTGCTCCCTGACATGAGGTGTCCCATTAGAGTGCTCCCTGACATGAGGTGTCCCCATTAGAGTTCTCCCTGACATGAGGTGTCCCCATTAGAGTTCTCCCTGACATGAGGTGTCCCCATTAGAGTGCTCCCTGACATGAGGTGTCCCCATTAGAGTGCTCCCTGACATGAAGTGTCCCCATTAGAGTTCTCCCTGACATGAGGTGTCCCCATTAGAGTGCTCCCTGACATGAGGTGTCCCCATTAGAGTGCCCCCTTACATGGATTGTCCCCATTAGAGTGCTCCCCTGACATGAGGTGTCCCCATTAGAGTGCTCCCTGACATGAGGTGTCCCCATTAGAGTGCTCCCTGACATGAGGTGTTCCCATTAGAGTTCCCCTTACATGAGGTGTTCCCATTAGAGTGCTCCCTGACATGAGGTGTCCCCATTAGAATGCCCCCTTACATGAGGTGTTCCCATTAGAGTGCTCCCTGACATGAGGTGTCCCCATTAGAGTGCCCCCTTACATGAGGTGTTCCCATTAGAGTGCTCCCTGACATGAGGTGTCCCCATTAGAGTGCCCCCCTTACATGAGGTGTTACCATTAGAGTGCTCCCTGACATGAGGTGTCCCCATTAGAGTGCCCCCCTTACATGAGGTGTCCCCATTAGAGTGCTCCCTGACATGAGGTGTCCCCATTAGAGTGCCCCCCCTTACATGAGGTGTCCCCATTAGAGTGCTCCCTGACATGAGGTGTCCCCATTAGAGTGCCCCCTTACATGAGGTGTCCCCATTAGAGTGCTCCCTGACATGAGGTGTCCCCATTAGAGTGCCCCCCTTACATGAGGCGTCCCCATTAGAGTGCCCCCTGACATGAGGTGTCCCCATTAGAGTGCCCCCCTTACATGAGGTGTCCCCATTAGAGTGCCCCCTTACATGAGGTGTCCCCATTAGAGCGCGCCCCTTACATGAGGTGTTCCCATTAAAGTGCCCCCTTACATGAGGTGTCCCCATTAGAGCAGTGGTGTGTATTTAGGTTTTGTGCTGCCCTAGGCAACACAAAAATTGCCCCCCCCCCTCCTCCTGACATTGACCAACAACACCCCTGCCCCCCCTTCCCCTCCCACCTGGAGAGGAAACCACTCACCTGGACATCCCTGGGAACGAGAGTTGGGCTCTGCATACATCATCAAGCAGTCTGCAGCCTCTTTCAGCTCCCCCCTGATCCCCATGTCCCTTCTTCCTGGGGACAGTGCTGCCCCCCTGAAAAATGCCGCCCTAGGCAACTGCCTTGTTTGTTTGTGGTAAATACACTCCTGCATTAGAGTGCTCCCTAACATGAAGTGTCCCCATTAAAGTGCTCCATTACATGAGGTGTCCCCATTAGAGTGCCACCTTACATGAGGTGTCTCCCATTAGAGTGCTCCCTGACATGAGGTGAGTGCCCCCCTTACATGAAGTATCCCCATTAGAGTGCTCCCCATTAGAGTGTGTCCCCCCCTGACATGAGGTGTCCCCATTAGAGTGCCCCCCTTACATGAAGTATCCCCATTAGAGTGCTCCCTAACATGAAGTGTCCCCATTAAAGTGCTCCCTTACATGAGGTGTCCCCATTAGAGTGCCACCTTACATGAGGTGTCCCCATTAGAGTGCTCCCTTACATGAGGTGTCCCCATTAGAGTGCCACCTTACTTGAGGTGTCCCCATTAGAGTGCCCCCTTACATGGATTGTCCCCATCAGAGTGCCCCCCTATATCACTGTCTGCATCTGACTGGCTCATGGATCAGTGGATCCATTCTCAGAGACATGGGGGAGGGGCACAATAAAATCTGGGGGGGCAAAGCCCACCCCAGCACTCCCCTAGATCGGGCCCTGTACTACAGTGACCTTCGCCTTTAGAAGCCACCTACTTATAAAACATTTTTGGGCGTACGGGTACTTGATTGCAGTATCTTAGTTTAAGCACTTCAACATGGTGGACATTTGGTGGTGGAGCTTTGGGAACAAAGACTGTATGGAAACGTTCCTTTCCTGTGACAACTCGTATCCCCTCGACCGTCGATACCCCACTGGTCGCAGAATGTAAACATAAGAGCCAATATTTGGGAAAAAAAAACGGTGTGTTGGTCACACAACCCCCCCCCCCCCCCAATCCATACTCAGCCCTTTGGGTCCGGTTGGGTGTCTACACATGACTTTTTTTTTTTTCCAGGTCGGCACCTGTCCTTCATTGTGATTGATGTGACTCTAGATCTCCGGACGACATCACTGACAACATCGGGGGACTTTTATTCCTTGTGTTATTTACAGTTGACTTTTTTTGGTGAATGAGTAGGGGTACTGTATACCAGGGGCGGACTGACCATTTGGAAACTCGGGCACTGCCCGAGGGCCCGGGGTCAGTAGGGGACCCCATGAGATGCCCCTGATACCTTTTTCATAGGCTTTTTTGAGTTTGGGCAAGGACACAGGGGCCCCATGATCCCCTATTGCCCGTGGACCCCATGAGTTGTCAGTTCGCCCCTGTGTGTACCCCCTGCTCATTCACATGAGGGGGTCAGGATCTGGGGACCTCCTTGTGACAGAGGGCTTCAAAATTCTGATAGGTCACCTCCCGCACACCAACAACCACCAGGGTCGTGGGGAAGAGGCCCTTGTCCTCTTCAACATGGAGACAAGGTGCTTTGTCGAGGGGGGGGCAAAGAAAATTTGCAGTTTTTCTGCAGTGTTGACCCATATATCCCCCTACTTCATTGCTTTCATTGCTTCCCATTGCCCTGGAACAGTGGTCTAAATACGTTAAAAGAACCGTGTGTCTTGTAGCTGAGGATCGTTTTTCGTTTTCTTGAGCAGCTTTTCCTTGGGAAAATGATGCTTTTTTTTCTTTAATAATTCTTTTTGAGAGTTTCTCTACAATATTAACCTGTGAGATTAGAGTAACACAGAGCCTTACCTGGAGCAAATGCACAATCATGGCAAACGTGTCCGATGGCTTGATCTAGGGAGGCTGAAGGCACAGGTTCCATTTCTTATCCAGGGTCATCTATGAGCAGTTTTGGGCCCTCGGAGAAAGTGTACAATATCTTCTCATGTTCATTTCTTGCAGTGCGAGAACCAAAAAGTTGGTGGGGAGTGAAGAGTTATGTAGATTGAAGAAATGTTGATTTTATGTTTTTTTTTTTCTCACGAATTGTTTTGCTAGAACATCTAAGAAGTCATAGGGGCATGGTGATTTTATCAGTTACATGGTAAAAATAATTCGTATGTTTTAGCCTGGCCATTATGGCAAGTAAAGGGGAACTTTTATTGTCCACCTGGTTTTTTTACCCCCCCCCCCCCCTATAGGTTGTGCAGCATTATCCTTGATTCAGACACAGAAGCCAGATGCCCCTTCTGGGTTCAGGCAGTCAGCCCCCAATGAAGCTTGCTAGCTCTGTCGACATACTGCTCCTAAAGCCCTCCACGATATGTGATGGGATAATCCTAGGAGCCTGAAGGAGCAGGGAGTTTGCTTAGGTAAGAATGGAGATAGGAATGGACATTCCTCTGCCCAGTAGACCAAGCGTTGCACCGTAGCAACCAGACAGTCAGGTG